GAAACATCTCTGATACAGCTTTTTTTTTTTTTTAAGATTTTTTTTTTTTTAATTTATTTATTTGACAGAGGGAGAGAGATCACAAGTAGGCAGAGCAGCAGGCAGAGAGAGAGAGGAGGAAGCAGGCTCCCTGCTTAGCAGAGAGCCCGATGTGGGGCTTGATCCCAGGACCCTGAGATCATGACCTGGGCTGAAGGCAGAGGCTTAACCCACTGAGCCACCCAGGCACCCCTCTGATACAGCTTTGATCTGAGGATGAGGAATTCTAGACATTTTTCAGAATCACTTGCCTTGCTTAGAGCCTTGGCCACGCTCTTCTGCCACCTGCTCCTGACAGTCAGATAATGAGGGCCACAAAATGCTGGTTTGTTTTGTTTTCCTATCCGAGAACTCAGTGTACTCTGCCATGGCTTGGTTTTGCTTGAGAAGTATCTGGACTCCCCACTGAGCAGGCAAATTCAATTCTTTGAGGACACATCAAGTCTTCCTTCATCCCACGAGAAATGGGCTCATTAGAAATACATTACCTGCTTCCTAAAATTTTTTATCACAGGTTACAAAACTGTATCTGGGATCAAAATACCTAAACATTATGTTTGCATTCTAGAAAATACGACTCCACTAAAGCATAGGAGAGTGCAAAACAAGGGGTGCCTGGGCAGCTCAGTCAGTTAAGCCTCTGCCTTCAGCTTGGGTCATGATCCCAGGGTCCTAGAATCGCCCGCATCGGCTCCCCGCTCTGTGGGAGGCCTGCTTGTCCCTCTCCCACTTCCCCTGCTTGTGTTCCCTTTCTCACTGTCTCTCTCTATGTCAAATGGGTAAAATCTTTGAAGAAAATTTAAAAAGAGTGCAAAACAAGCATCTGACATCTTTAGAACAAGTGAGGTTGAGAAATAACCTTATCCAAACTCAGTTTCTTTTCTGTATTTTCCTGCCAACCATGCTTATTTATACCTGATGTACTAAAGGAGTATGGTGCGGGAAAAGGAACTGGCAAGGTTCATCATCAAGTAGAGTTGCATTTGGGGAAAGCAGTTTACTTGGCGTGATGACTGACTGAGTTGTAGATCACCTCCTATTTCCAAAAGAGGGTGTATAAAATGCATAAGACAGAGCACTTAAAATAAATGTCAAAAGGAAAAACCAGGAACTATTAAGAGGAAAAATGTATAACCAGTGACTATATTAACAGCTAATACTTATTGAGTATATAGTATGGGTAACGAATATTTCTAAGAGTTTTCTTTTTTAATTGATAAATGATTAACATACAGTGTTCTGTTTCAGATGCAACTCTTACGTTGCTCAGTGCTTATCATGATAAGCGTGCCCTCAATCCCCTTTATCTATTTTGCCCATCCCCCCACCCACCTGCCCTCCTGCAACCATCAGTTTGTTTTCTGTATTTAAGAGACTGGTTTTTTTGATTGTCTCTTTTTTCTTTGTTTGCTTTGAGTGAAATCATATAGTATTTGGCTTTGTCTGACTTATTTCACTTAGCATTATACCTTCTAGACCCATCCATATTGTTGCAAATGGCAAGATTTCATTCTTTTTTTATATCTGAGTAATATTCCATATGCCACATCTTCTTTATCCATCCACCTATTGATGGACACTTAGGTTACTTCCATATCTTGGCTATTATAAATAATGTTTCAATAAACATAGGGGTACATATATCTTTACAAATGAGTGTTTTTGTTTTCTTTGGGTAAATACCTAGTAGTGGAATTGCTGGATCATATGGTAATTCCATTTTTGATTTTCTGAGAAATCTTTATACTGTTTTCCACAGGAGTGGCACCAAATTGCATTCCCACCAGAAGTGTACAAGAGTTCCATTTTCCATATCCTCACCAACTCTTGTTATTTTTTGTCTTTTTGATTCTACCCATTCTGACAAGTGTTAAGGTGAAAACTCACTGTGGCTTTGATTTGCATTTCCCTGATGATGAGTGATGTTGAGCATCTCTTCATATGTCTGTTAGACATTTATATGTCCTCTTTGGAAAAATGTCTGTTCAGATCCTTGGTGCATTTTTATTCAGATTATTTGGCGTTTTTTTAGTGTTTACTAGTATGAGTTCTCTATATATATTTTGGATATTAATCTCTTACTGGATATATCATTTGCAAATATCTTCTCCCATTTAGTAGGCTGCTTTGTTGTTTTGTTTTGATGGTTTCCTTTGCTGTGCAAAAGCTTTTTATTTTGGTGTGGTTTCAATAGTTTATTTTTGCATTTGTTTCCCTTGTCTGAGGAGATACATCTAGAAAAATGTTTCAGTGGCTGATGGCAAAGACATTATCACCAGTGTTTTCTTCTAGGAGTTAATGGTTTCAGGTCTCAGATTTAGGTCTTTAATCCATGTTGAGTTTATTTTTGTGTATGGTGTAAGAAAGTGGTCCAGTTTCATTCTTTTGCATGTAGCTGTCCAGTTTTCCCAACACCACTTAATCAGTAGAGTGTCTTTTCCTCATTGTATGCTCTTGCCTCCTTTATTGTAGATTAATTGGTCATATAAGCGTGGTTTATTTCTGGGCTCTCTGATCTACTCTCTTGACCTATGTGTGTATTTTTTGTGCCAGTCAAATGCTGTGTTGATTACTAAGAGTTTTAGTAATATACGGAGTTGTATAATTCTTACCACAGCATTATTATGTGGATACTTTTGTTATCCGCATTTACTAATGAGCAAGCTACAGCACAGAGAGAATAATAATGTGCCTGAGGTCACAGTGCTAATAAGTGGCGGAACTTGGATTGGATTTCAGATAGTCTTGCTTAGAACCTGTGTGCTCAACTAGGATGTCGAACTGCCTTCCACACTTTTCTGAGCTTCCAGGCAGGCAAGGCAAGACTCTTCAGTACTTTTCCCAAGGGATAAAATCTTTAGAAAGTGATTGGGTAGATTGCAATATGAGTAACATTTTGCAACATGGTGAAAAAAAACTATGATTAGTTGCTGTTTTGCACAAGATCCAAATGTGTTCTTCAAAGTAATATTTTTCACATCAACCTTCAATAAAGGGTTTTTTTTTAAGATTTATTTACTTTAGAGTGAGAGAGAGAGCACATAAGTGGGGGGAGGGGTGGAGGGAGAGACTCTTCGAGCAGTCTCTCCACTGAGCCTGGAGCCCAACATGGGGCTCCATCTCACAACCCTGAGATCATGACCTGAGCTGAAACAAGAGTCAGATGCTAAATCGACTTAACCACACAGCCGCCCCAATACAAGGGTTTAAATAGTAACTCAGTGGATATAACGAACATGATTTGAAATCCAGATTTCCTAAACTGAATAGGGTTGATGATTGGATGTGATTTCTGTCATTGATCCTTATTTTATTTGCATCTGTACAGTCTGTCATCTCGTTTACGTATTTACCAACCTTTGTATTGCCGGCCTCTTCTGCCAGAGGAGCACAAAGATCCGTTTGCCTCATTCGTCTGCTTATCTTGGGAACTCAGCACAGTCCGTCAGGGCAGGTACTCAAAATTATTTGTTGAGTAAATTCATGGGTGAATGAATCCTTCAAAGGCAAAGAGTTCTGCCCAAGACCAGCCTCAAGATCCTTACAGTCTAAACTATGACTATTATTACGATCTGTAAATTATGACTGTTGAGGAGATAAGGAGTTCTAAGGAGTTACTGGCAGGGGAACCTTCACTGGAGTGACCAGGCAGGGTGCTAACTCTCATAGTTTTTTTTCTTCTTCTTCTTCGTGAGCTCTGATGTCAGGGCCGGTGCCTGGAGTTGTGTTCTGCACAATCTACCCACTGCCATCCAGCAGTCTCAGGGGACCTATTATGACAGAAAGGAAGTCTGCACCCAGCCCACTGCACTGTTTCATTCAAAGCTCTCCACCGCTGCTTCCCATGGACCATTCTGAACCCAAGCTTAGAGACAGACATTTAACGTGGCATGTCAATAGCACATGGTGACTTTTCTGGGAGGCCCAGGACCTAAAGGCCGCACCTGGCTTCCCACTCCCAGATGTGCTCTTTCTCTCTGCTCCTGGCAACGGCCTTAAATGGACGGAGCCCCTGCAGTCACCCAGTGGTACTTTGGAGCTTAACAAAGCCTCCGGTCCTGGCCTCGCTTGTTCAACTTTCTCTTTCCTTTGTCTTTTGCAGTGTTTCAGCCCTGAGAGGAACGCATGGGGAAAGGGTGGCCCTAGACCCCTTTTCAGCCCAAGGAAGAGAAAAATGTATTTACTCGGAAATGGCTGGGTAGGCCAGGGCCTGTGAATTCAAGCGAAACCAGAAGTTATTTGCTCCAATATTATTTCTAAAGGAAACTGCAACTGAAATACTAATTATATCATAATTGAAAAAGAATGTGATGGCTGTTCTAAACTTTGTTTTCTCGGGTTATGGGGCCACTCCTAGCCTTATCACTGATGTTCCCATCTCACTGACGTCCTTCTGTTTCCTCCAGGCAACATGACCTGCCATACCTTGCACCTTTGCTCTTGCTCTCTGGGCTGGAAACACCTTCCCCTACCGCCCCTGCCCTCCCTTCATAGTTTACCTCACCTTCACCCATCCGGGCAGACGGGTGGCCCTTTCTGAAATTTCTAAATCCTGCTGTCCACCCTGTGTCTGCAATCCCTTTGTTTTAGCACTCATGTATTGTATTCGGTGATCTATTTAGACGTCTGTCTCCTCTGTTAGTCTATGAGCAATCTCTTGAGAGCAGGAACCATGTCTTATTTTTTTTTTCTTTTTCTTTTTTTTTTTTTTTCGCCTGCAATTCCTGGCATAAAATCTGGCATGCAAAGCGGGCTCAGTAAATATTGATTGAAATGAATCGTGTTGTCAATAAAGTATGATGCTCTCACTCTGACCTTTTTCTGCATCCAGAACTCCTGGAAGTGCCAGAAACATTTTAAAATTGACTGCATTTTAGAACTTCTGAGAATGTAATGTTTTGTTATTCCTCTTCCTTTTCAGGAACCTCTTTCCAGAGCTATAAAAGACCAAGAGAAGAATCATGTCCATGATTGCAGCTTTCTATAGTGGCAAGTCCATTCTCATTACTGGGGCCACAGGCTTCATGGGCAAAGTGTTGATGGAGAAGCTATTTCGCACCAGTCCCGATCTGAAAGTCATTTACATCCTTGTGAGACCCAAGGCTGGCCAGACAACGCAGCAGAGGGTTTTCCAGATCCTAAATAGTCAGGTATGCCATAGGGAAAGAGCCTTGGGACAGAATGACTCACTATAATGTTTCCTGACTGCCACAGACCTGCAGGTGGGGGCCAGGATGCCCGGGCAGGTAGAGGAGAGGAGACAGGACAAGATGGCAACCCATAGCTCATAGCAATCTGTGATTTTGTCCTGTAAAAGAAGGAGGAGTGCCTAGGCCCTGTCCAGGGCAGGTGAGCAGATACTCTGTGTTCTGGAAATTACTGAGGAAGAATCAAAATGCTAAAACCCCCAGAGTGGACTCTTCAGGCTCAAGATCTATCACCGTTCAATGGAACCCTTTCCAACCTTTCTCCTCCTCCTCTTCCTTCTCCTTCTCCTTCTTCTTCTTCTTCCTCTTCTTCTTCTCTTTTAAAAGATTTACTTCTTTCTTTGAGAGAGGGTGCTCGCCCAAGCAGGGGCAGAGGGAGAGGGAGAGGCAGACTCCCCGCTAAGCAAAGAGCACAGTGCAGGGCTTGGTCCCAGGACACGGGGACAATGACTTGAGCCAAAGGCAGACACCTGACTGACTGAGCCACACAGGTGCCCCGACCTTTCTTCTAAATTCATGGTAGTTCCAGCACCACCCCCCATTTTTGGATATTCTGTTCTTTTCTATCTGATACAATTAGTATACAAGATACAATTAGTAAGTAGCCGTGTGATAATACTTCCTATTGCCCAAACTCCACAAGGTTTAGGTGTTCTACACTTGATCTGGGTAGCTTGGTATTTCTGTTGCTGTAGGTTCCTCTAAGGGGAAGACATGTAAAATGAAATATATCTATAAATGACCATTTGGGTATCAAACCCTCTCACTCTTTAAAAAAGGATTATGCATATCCTCCCATGTTTTACAAATTTGAAGGTAGTATTGGCTTTGGTCTCAAGCATGTCTGAGCTCAAATTCTGGCTTCTCAATTCACTGCCACTTTACCTTATATGTTCCAGTTTGCAGTGTTTGACATAGGAACAACCACAGAGACCTCCCAGGATTGCCACGGGAGCTGAATAAAAAAAGACACATGTCTGGTTTAGAGTTCTGTATGGAATATACTTAGGCATTTAGGGTTGACAAAAGGAAAATTTAAATAAGGTTTTTTTGGTTGGTTGTTTTTGTTTTTGTTTTTTTTACAAAGTCTCCTTTCCCGTGTGTAGGAAGGCTCCCATCTAACGGAGCTGTATCCGCTAGCCCAGCACACTATGGACACCCAGCAGCCCCACTGACCACATCTACCTACAGGCACCTGGATGCAATTTGGGTACAAGCGATCAGCAAGAGAATCAGGAAAGCTTGTCCTGTGTCACTTGGCCTGACACCGCAGTGGGAAAATAACAGTAGCTGAGTGCTGCGGAGTGCTCAGGACATGCAGACCCTATTCAGAGGCTTTTTTGTGCCTTACCTTGTTGACTTTTGCAACAGCCTTGTGAAGAAAGAATGATTCGTATCCTCAGTTTTCATTTTATAGATGTAAAGAGCAAGACCTGAAGTGTTAACTTCTAGAGGTCACCCAGCTCATAAATGAGAGTGGCAGACTTTAGATTGGCCCCTGAACCAGTATGCTTGCTTCTACCCTATGCTAGCATAGTAACCCCACATGGTAACTAGTAGCTCTTAATAAGACCAAAAGGCTAAGTGGCACCAAGCCTAAATCTAGAATAAACTCTCAGATCCCTCTTCGGACAACTTCACTCAGTTGCATATCGCTAACAGATTTTGTTTTTATCACACAGCAGATGTGTTTAGCTTTGTAGACAGCTTATAGATTTCTAGATAAAATTGTGGCAGGGAGTCTTGTGGTCAGCACAAGCTTTACCTACTGTTCTTTTCAATGACATAGCAACATTGCTTTTGTTTTGGAAGTCTTAACTATTATAACTTCTCTGTAAGGCTGGCTTGGGAAATCTCTACACCTGTTTCCACTCTTGCTGTTGACCTTTGTAAATAGTGGTTCTCAATCTGCAGTCTCCAGACCAGCAGTATCCGTATCCTCCGGGAACGGTCATTATCGGATGGTCCCTACAGAGCGTGGGCTTCAAGGCAGACTGATCTGGGTTTGAATCTCAGCCAGAACCGTTATTAGCTGTGGGACCGGGGGCAAGACACATACTTTACTGAGGCTTAGTTTCATTACTTGTAAAATGGGGTCCTACTACCTTGCTCACTCAGGAGTGTCTGTCTTGTCTATCCACCTCTCTCTTTCTCTTTATCTCTCTCTCTCTACCCACTCAAGTCTTTCTGGATTCACATCCAAATCTGATGTCATTAGGTGTGGTCTGGCTTTAACCGTGATCTCCTGTAGCCTCACATTTTACTGTTAGGCTAATCAGAGTTTATTCTATAGATTTCTTTTCTCTGTAAATTTTCCCTGAAAGAATTATGGGAGGAAGGAAATCTGTTGTGCCTTATATGGCTGAAAAACTTAATATCTGTGGTTAAACACCATGTCTGTGTGGCCCTTTTGTGGGTTTTTTCCCTTTCTCTAGTACTTTTATTCCTTGAGAGCCTTGGACACCTGAAGAATTTTGAGAAGGTTGCACACTATGTCTGATGACTTTTTAAGGCAACATCAACCTCCATTCCGTGTTGTCATTTGTAACAGAAAGGTTTATTGCTAAAAAAAGCAGATTCTGTCTAGAGCCTATCTAGTCTTTGGTTAGACAAATACCCACTATCTTGGCACAATATGGAACTTGATATCTACAAAAAGATATTCCATGGGAAGAAAAAAAGGATGTGCCTTATTTCGGGGTCCTCCAAAACTGAAAATCTTCCACTACACAAATCATGAATGCTGGCCTGGGACCGTGGAGACATGGTGCTGATCGCGGCCCATGAAGCTGTTTGGGGATCAGGGTAGCGCAGTCCTTAGTTTCTGACTCTCTGTGATACACAAGATATTACTGCTCAAAATCCTCGTGAACCTAAATATTCAAAATACAGACAGACCTTCAGATTATGTTTTGAAACCATGTGAACGGAGGACTTTGGAATGGTAAACAAAACAAACAGAAAACTTTCCAGATTATCTTACTTTTCTTCCTTAGAGCATGTGGTTATTTAAATGCAGCGAATGATAATAATGAACTTGAAAATGCAGTTTTTCAGGCACACCAGCCGTATTCCCGGGCTCAGTGGCCCCCACATGCTGCTGGCTGCCTCAGTGCACAGGGCAGGTACAGAACACTCCTGTCATCGCAGAGGGTGCTGTGTAGGAAGAGCATACCGTGCTCCAGATTTCCTTTCAGCCCATCATTTCTACCAATCCCACACTTACTGAAGTGCTTACTTGAGTGTCAAATGTATGCTGGGCACTGAGGATACGAAGATAAAAATGAGATTAAAAAAAAAAAGTGACAGAGATAGTCCCATAAAACAGGCTTGAAGTGCAGCACGAGTTCTCCTGGGAGAGGAGACCAAAGAGCAGTCTGAGCAGAAAGAAACCACCCTTGCAAACAGGTGACAGGTTTGGTGTATTTGCGAACCTCTGGGTGACTTCCTTAGCCCCAAACAATTGAGTTTTTAAGAACTAGAAAGGGATCCTGAGACCAGATCTGGGAAGACTACAGACAATTGTGTTAGTTAGGTGACTTTCCTTTGGGAAAAACAAAACAAAACAAAAAAACTGGATTGAAGCTGGCTTGCAAGACAAAGGATAACATGCTGATTGCACAGTGGAAAACTCCAAGAGCGTGGTGATGAACTGTTGCCCGGAGCGGTGGCGGTACTGGTCCATGAATCCTTGGCTCTGTCATTTTGTTCTGGCTTCCTCCCAGTTACGATAAGATGGTTGGCTTTTTGTTTTGTTTTGTTTTGATAACATTATTGCAGCCACTGGATAAATAGAGGCTGACTCCCTGAAGCTCTCTCTGAGAATGGATGAAACCTCTTTTTTGGAAACCCTCAACAAGTTTCCTCTTAGATGTCATCAGCCTGGGTTAGGTTACATGTCCATTTCTGGACCAACCCCTGTGGCATGAGGTATGCCATCTACTGAATTAGTCAGAAACTCCAGATCTAAGCTAACCGTTGGACAGAGGATAACAGACACTTAGATCAATAAGTCTTTCCCTGGGGCTGGGGTAAGACCATCTTCTCCTGGCACAGAGACTACATGGAGAAGGGAGAACATCTGAATGACTTATCAAGACACAAAAGAATAGATGTTAGGAAGAAATCTGCCTGCCAACTCTTGGAATAGAGGACCAGAAAAATGCCTCCTGATAATGAATACCTAAACATGGTGGACAAAATATCTGTTTGTAAAATAATCTTAATACATCACTGAGCTAGAGAAAAAACAAGAACAGAGGCAACCTTGAAAAATTAGCTACCGGGGAATTCTGAATGATCTTGGGAAGGATCTTGCATTGGGAGTGTAATAATCAGTTGTAACTCAATTAAGGTGCAGAGAGACCAAAGCTGACATTTGGGTTAAAAAAGCAAAATAGTATTTCTTTATGGGTTTTGTTAACGTAAAACACAAAATAATCAGTGTTTTACTTTGACTAATCCCAAATAGCCATTGATTGGTCATCTCCAGTGCAGAGATAACTAAACTAGAGCTTGATTGTAACTCAAAACCAACAAAAACCAACCAGCAGCCTTTTGGCAAATCCCTGAATGCTTAGGACTCTCCATTTCTTTCCCCATAGGTACCTTCCTGGTGCCATTTTTAAACCTTTTCTCTATATCTTTCAAGATACTCCCAACAGTTTGGGGTCCAGCATACAGGGAGCCTTCTGTAAATGCTCAGGCTCAGATACCCACCCTCTGCTAAGCCTTTCTTCACACAGTCTCCTAAATTCACCTTCAGAATAAAAGTATTTTTCTTTCTTTAATTAAAAGTCTGTCCTCTCCCTAAAGAAGATTTTACTGTTTATAGTGAAACTATTGGAGATTAGCAGTTTTTTGTTTTTTGTTTTTTTAAATATTTATTTATCTGACAGAGATCACAAGTAGGCAGAGAGAGAGAGAGGAGGAAGCAGGCTCCC